AAATTCAGTAACAGAAATAAATCTTAATTTAATAGTGTGAGTAGGCGTGGGCCCAGCGGGAATTGAGGCGAGAGGCGACCTGAACCTGAGGGGAGCCCGTTGAACCTGGGTGACTGGAGGTGTGGACCTGAGGAGAGGAAGGCGGGCCCACTTGAGCCTACGGTGTTCAGGATACGAGGCAAGTGGACATGAGGGAAATACAGCGACATAGCTACAGTTACAAATGCACAGAGGGCCCTGGAGCCTTCTGGGCTCGAGAAAATGGGGACCACACGCATCAGCTGCAGAGACCGTCCTTATTCCCCATCCTGCTCTGCTCCATCCCGGCTGAGGGAAGCGCCCTCGGCCTGGTTCTGACCTGTGAAATGGGAATGATGTGCTGGGCTGGCTTCAGGTGGGCACTGGGCTGGGTGGCAGGGATGACTCTTACCTTCTGCAGTAACAGGAATAGGCCAGCAGGGGGTGACAGTCTCTGCTGCCTCCCAAGGCAGGCAGCTGGGCTGGGTGGAAACCACACCTGGTTACCCTTCAGAAGAGGTAAGGGTGAGGCTGAAGAATGGCTTTGGGGCCAGGTGGGCATCCAGCTGCCCTGGGAGGCCTGTTCCACCTGTCACTCTGCAGATGGGTCCCCTCTGGTGGTCACATTGCGCAGGCCCAGCCTTCCAGGAGCTGGATGTCAGCACAGACTCAGTGCTCATGACTTGTTTGTTTGTTTGTTTGTTTGTTTGTTTTGGGGGGAAGGGGGTTAAGGAGGGAGGAGTGCCCACTTGGTGTCTGCACTCCTCTGTCTAAGCCTAAGGGGTCAGTCTTGTACCAGGAGGCACCCAGCAGCCGCCCAGAGGCACAGGTGCAATGACAGGACCCCTGTCCACTGAGGGTGGGAGAGGGGGGTCGGGGGAAGGGAGAAGCCCATTAGAGAAAATGGCCACAGGGTGAGGGGTGCTCAGCCAGAGGTCACAGGTAAAGAAACACAGGCTGTGAGCAACCCAGGATTCCATTTGTAGCTCTGCCCACCATGGAGGTGGCTCCCCAAAACAGAGACCATCCAAGGTCTCAAGGGGGTGGGCCACGTGAACAGGAGAGCATAGGCATGTGAACAAGGGGGCTTCTAACTAGACCAGTTCATAAAACCCAGACTCCTGCCATCTCCCTGAGTATTTTTGGCCTGTGTCCACTCCTGACACCAATTTCTGTACAAGTTAATGTTCTTGGATGCAAACAAAAAAGCCAATTCTGTCCAACTTGAGAGAGCAGGAATTTTAGAAAGACATTATACAGCTCACAGAAACAGTAGGAAAGGCTGGTGAACCAGGCTTGGGAAAATATCAAGTACCTAAATACAGCAGGTAGAAGAGGACATAGCCAAGTCCATCCCATGGCAAATCTGGTTAGGATGCTGTCACTGGCACCTCTGCTGTTGTGAATTGGTTTTGACAATTCATAAGTCTTAAGTGTCACTCCCTATCAATCCACATCATCAGAAAATAGCATCCTAATTCCAAACCCTACCTGCTAGGAAGCAGGGTGAGACTGTCTGGCCCTTGTCAATTTCCATAAGGAGAAAGAAGAGTTTTCTCCAAAATATAAAGGGGGTTGGAATGCAGGCGAGAAAAAAAATGAGAAGCTCACAAAAGAGCACAAACAACTTTCTAGGGATTTCAGGACTATCTGAAGGGCAGAAACGTAAGTGGAAGTTGTGGGAAGCCATCCTCAAGTATCTTTGGCATTCAGAATGGCAGACAATAGGTGAAATTGTTTGAGACCATGTTAGAGGTGTCTATGAACCCCCATAAATGACCAAGAGTGACTAAAGCATGCTGGGGTTTGGGACGTAGATGACCAACCAGTAAAAGAAGATATTGATGCTAATATGCTCATTCCCATGTACAGACTGGTGAGGCCATGGGCCACTGGGGTTATAAGATGTGCTATGGAGAAGCAACAGCAGCGTGATGGACAGGGACAAGTTGATATGGGAGACCAAACTCGGCAGGCTAAGTGGGGGGAATCAAGGTGGGAAAGTGAACAGAGAGCGCTGGGAGATGGAGCTTGTAGCGGTCAGCTCAGACCATAGTTTTTGTCAAGGCTTCTTTGGGAGACCTAGGTTTATCCTCTGTCTCAGGAAAACTCTGAATCAAAGACTCCACCCACAGAGCCTCTGTCCTAACTGTACCCTAACTCCTAGTCACTCCAGGGCAGGAGCTGGCACTTCCCAGTCTTTGCCACTCGAAGTCCCACATCCCAAGGGCTGGGGTTGCTCTCTTGGAGTTAGGCATCCAGTCCTGCTCCAATAGGCTTGCTAAGTGCTAGAAGGTCATTTTTATTCACAGAATGATTGAGAAAATATTATTATGCCCTTTGCCCTGTCTAGAGACATGGACATGGAAGGAGGAAAGGAACTAGCTGGAAGGATCTTGCCTCTGATCTTTCATGAGTACCTTGCATTCATGGGCTCAGTGCAGGACACACATATGGTCCTGCCCATCCACAGAGGGTCCACTAGAATGCCTAAATGGGAAGAATGACAGAGCCTGAATCGTGCCACAGATAAGGTTTATTTTAGACAAAAGCTCTTTAGAAGTGGTCACTCCACCACTTTAGATCTTCATCTTCTAGAGCTGCAAGTCCAGGGATAGAGAATAGCCAGGAATGGTTTGTAGAAGAGTCTTGTTAGCCAAGCATCAGATTCATGAGAAATCTTCTGGGGCTGGTCTCCAGGCACGCTTAATAAACACCTTGTCCATCTTTCACTGGGCCGCCCAAGCCACCCTTCTGAAATACAAATTTGATCGTGACATTTCCTCTGTTCAGAAACCTCCAGCAGTCTACCAAACTGACAGGCATCTCACTCTTCTTTGGACCCTGGCTTAGATGACCCTCTGCTAAGATGCTGAGATGTTGTGCCTCTGAAATGCTGCAACTTCTACCACAGTCACTTTCCCATCTCCAACGGACCCACACTTCTCCCACCATCTGAACTTCCCTTCCTTCCTCCAGCAAACTTTATGCCTCCTTTAAGCACTTCCTTAAATGTTCTCTACTCTCCAACAACCTTCCCAACACGCACTGATCCAACCTCCCAGGCAAAGCCAATAACTTTCCCTTTGCGCCCACGACCTTAGTAGAAACTAGTACAAAGCCATGGTTACACTGTTGTAATTATTTACATAGTTCTGTCTTCCTCGTCTGGTTGTGTTTATCTTTTTATCTCAGCTTCAGCACAATGCCTGACAAACACAGAAGATACTCAATAATTGGTGTTCCCTTTCCTTTTCCCCATCTTCCCACAAACATTCATTTCCAGGAAGAGTGAAGCCCCCTTGGTGGGGAAGGAGAAGAAGGGTGGGAAACCCTGGGATAATAATGACCTGAGAACCTAGGATCATGGTTACTTGTCTCAACTGAGAGCCACCCAGGGATAGGGATGGGGCTTCTCTTCGAGGAGAGGGTCTTGGATAATGCAGCCAGGTGTCCTTCTGCCATTCATTTCCAGACTCTTTCCCTTGGGTTATCCAGACTCCTGCAGGGAGTGGACACGTGAGCACTCATCTGCCTTAGCAAAGTCCACTAGGAAGTTATTGCACCCCTGGGCAGCTCTTGACTGATTTATACTCACTGCAGGGAGAGCAATTTTGCAGACACGACCACATCCATGGTTGCAGCATTTCATTCGCTTGGGACATGATGCATCTCCTATGCATCCAACAGAACAATGACCAACGAAATCTTCGGACACCTTGGGGCAGACTCCAGGTCTTTGTTGCTCTGAAACATACAATGGTTTTTGTGCAATCTGGAACAGTCACTATACAGGCGTGAGAACTGGTGTTTGAGGTCGGATGGCCTCGCCACTAGCAGGACTCCCACCTCTTCCATTCCTTCCTTCATGTTCCTGGATCCAACCCTCAGCCTCAGCAGCTCCACTTTTACTCTAGAGCCCCCATTTTCACAGTCAGGCCCTTAGGAGAATGTTCTCCCTGCTCCAAAGGCTGCACAGTCCCAGCAGACAAGAAACCTGCGCTGTCATAACCCTCTTCTTTCCACCTTATAAGATATTAGAAAAATCTCTGATCACAGACAGCCATCTCCCCACCTCACACATATCCCATGTTGATCACGGAGTTACTCCTGTTGGAGTCCCGCATCCAAGGCATATCTAGAGAAAACCCCAACTTCTAATCAGACCCAATCTGATCAGATAAGAAGAATGGGAATGCAGGGTGATCACTCCTGAAAGTCAAAGAATGTGGATCTGATCAGTCCAAAATCTCCATTCTGCAGTGAACACACTGCCTGCTTCTGTGCCAAACCATCTTCAGGTCTGAAGCTGGGCTCTGAGCCTTCTCTGCTGTCAGGTAGGACCCCCCTCAGCACCCTTACCTTGGACAAGAGGTGTCAGAGGGTCACCACAGGCCATCTCCATCCCCACGGTGATGAAAGCCACTAGAACAAAGACTGTGCATGTCTTCATTTTGGCTTCTGATGTGAATGCACACACAGAGCCCAGCCACAATTTATACCCTCAGTGTTACCAGAAAGGAGTGTGGGGCGGGGCAGTAGAGCAGGAAGAGGATGACATGATCTAGTTCCTCTGTTCTAGTTAATAACTGGTTTCTCTCTAATTAGGGTATGTTTTCTCGGATATGCAAATCCCAAATAGGAAAGTTCAGGAACACCTCTAGCCCTTTGTTCATTGCTACATCACAGTTCAGCAATGGTTTTCCTGGTGTCTTTGGGAACAATGGCCAAAGAAAAGAATTTTCTCTGTGTAATTTAGAATTTCAGAGTAAGGGCTTAACTATGAAGCTAGGTGTTGTCCCATCTGGTGTCTCCTGGAGGTCCAGTTCCAGGAGGATTCAATGTGCTCCTGGGAGAGATGGTGAATATGTGGTGTTTTGGAGCCATCGCAGGGCTGAGACCCCTAAGTAGGTGACATTACCCACCTATCACTTATGTAACTCATCCAAGGAGATGGATGTTCAAAGATCACAAGCTGGCAGGGCCCTTGGGAGTTGAGAGACAGAGCCCATTCTTGATGGTTGGTGGTCTCTGAGCCTACACTGCTCCACACTGAGAGGTTCCTAGAGAGAGGGCTACAAGAAGCTGAACTACAGGGAAAAAAATACAAAATGTTGCACAGGGTCCTGAACAAGAAGCCCGCCCTCTTTCTTATCCCAATTACAGAATTTCAGAGAAGCGGGTGTAGAGGTAAAATTCTAATGACCATGGGAATGAAGAGAAAGCCTGTTTCGTCCTTGGTGGTCAGATCTGGGACAAGCACCTCATGAGCACTACAGCAGTGGTTCTCAACCTTCCTAATGCCGCGGCCCTTTAATACAGTTCCTCATGTTGTGGTGACCCCCAACCATAAAATTATTTTTGTTGCTACTTCATAACTGTAATTTTGCTACTGTTATGAATTGTAATGTAAATATCTGATATGCAGGATGTATTTTCATTGTTACAAATTGAACATAATTAAAGCATAGTGATTAATCACAAAAACAATATGTAATTATATATGTGTTTTCCGATGGTCTTAGGCGACCCCTGTGAAAGGGT